AGAACTAACTTGTCCAATTGTCTTTTGTGCTACACTCACCCCAAATCCTAATCCTCCGTGATTGGAAAAATTCCTTTGACTCTTGCAATGTTCAAACCTATTTCCTGCTTCCTTTGCTTGGAACACTCTATTACTTGACTGCTTTTCTGTGTTCTTAAACTTAAAATTACAGCTTAAATACCATTTCCTCCAATGAACTTCTCTGATTACCCAATTCATTTCAGGCCTTTTTCATGGCACTCAAGAATTTTTTTTTTTCCTTCATCAAAAGCTGTTCAATTTTATTGATATGTTTATTTGTATTTTAAAAGCAATATATTCAGTGCCTCCTTAGTTCCTGAAATAAAATATGGACTCAATAATAATTGCTCAATAAAAATGCTTGGATGTTTATGTATTTTCTCAATGTTTAACATATAAAATGTTAGAGGCCAATAAATTAACACAAAATTAGTACTTATTATGATAAGAATATACTTTTATGCTAAAATTTTCAGAAAAAGTTTTCAATAATTTTCATATTACCTGAAGTTAACGCTAGAACCCACTATTGGTTAAAATTCATAGTTGAATTAGAATTAAAATATTTTAGGATATTCTCTTGATTGTGGGAAGCAAAGCATTGGAATTTCATTTCAATTTCATAGAATCATTAGAATTTTTTACAATAAATTTTGAAAACTTAAAATAATATCTGTTAGCCGGGCTCGGTGGCTCAGCCTGTAATCCCACACCTTGGGAGGCTGAGGTGAGTGGATTGCCTGAGTCCGCGGGTTTCAGACCCGCCTGGGCAACTTGGCGAGACCTCATCTCTACAATAAATAAAAAAATCAGCCGGGCGTGGTAGCACGCACCTGTAGTTCCAGCAACTTGGAAGGCGGAGGCGGAAGGATCGCTGGAGCCCAGCAGGTCGAGGCTGCAGTGGCCGGGAGCGACCACTGCACTCCAGTCTGGGCGACAGAGTGAGACTCCAACTCAAATAATAATTACTAATAATAGTAATAATAATAATATCTGTTTTTTCTTTTATTATTTTAGCATGCATGCAACTGAATGCATTTTAAGGTAGTGAATTTTCATAAGAATCTTGGAAAAGAGTGATCTGATAAGAAATAGTTTTCCATAGTGAAACATAAAATAAAACTGCTTATGATTTTTCATTTGTATAGGACCTTCACTTTTCTATTTGTGTTACATATATATTTATCAAATAATTGATATGTCTTAAATCTACAAGTAGTAAAAAAAAAAAATCACATTATTTAATCTTTCTTGTTACTGTGGTTTAAATAATTATGCAAGAAATTAAGACAAAGTTTATTCATTCAGACCATTTATAACTGATTTAATAACTTAGTTCATCTATTGTCTGTTATACAGTGTTAAATGAATTTATTTGATTTTAGTAATTTCTTTTACTATAATTTCACCAAGCCTTAATAAGACACCATATTTGCTCTTGTTTATTTTTCCAAAATTAATTTTTCATCAAGTTGCTGACTTTTTGTTGCAGCTCCATAATTTTTATTCTGATAAGTGATGATAGATAGTTTAAACATTAGTCTTAACAGATTGTGAAATAGTATTTTTACTTTATATTCCCACATAGGCACCCCAAATGTCAAACTATATTATCTAAAATTTGATCCCTTCACTTATTATATTTAATTGGTAAATGAGGTCTAGTGCCAAGAATGTAATTTTGGTTTCTTACATTTCAAAAGCCAGGACATCTCTTAGATTTGGGAACAGAACATTTTATACAGTAATGGTACAATTATATATATATGAAAAAGCAGTTTTCAGGCTTTTGTATCAAAATTCATTTCAATGGATATTATTGAAACTTAACATTTCTCTAAGTGTTGACTAAGATGATTGATTGTTTTTAGAATTTAAAATGTCATAGAAACATGCTTTATAACAGTATAATACTATGCAATACATTGCAATCAAGCCATTTAAAAGTAACGGTGCAAAAGCTAGTAATTTAAAATGCTTTTCCTTAACAAATAATTTTAAAATGCCTCATGTTACAATCATCCTACATAGTTTTTAAAAACATCTTGAATAGTTTATCCTTTTCAGTCCTTATCATCCTACAAAATTTAGTGGGGCTGGTGTTCTCCTACTTATTTTACTGTTAATAAAACTTCATGACATAAAAAATAAATATCTTGTCCAAAATTTGCCAATGAGTAAGTGGCGAAAGTAAGACTAGATTTGAATATTTTTTTCTATAGTGAATTGTTACTTCAATGTACAGATGTATGCAATAAATCACACTGACATTTTGATATACATATAACCAATGTATGAGAGAAATATATACATTTAAACATATATATCATATGACCACAATATTTCTCCTTTAAGCAATACAATACTTTCTGATTAATGTGATTAATTTCACTTCTCACAAACTCTGTCAGATTAGAAAATGTTGGGAGCCGGCCACAGAGGCCCACTGAGTGTTAGGGATCAGGAAGGGCCGTTGACCCCGAGACCACTAGGATGCGTTCGGGAGCTATAGACCCCATTTCCTGCCCCTTTCTACTCAGTACTAACCAGATTAAGCTCCTGTGAACTCAAAACATAAAAACGTTGAGACCGGGATGAACACAAGCTGACTTTAGAAGCTCATTGCTCCCATTCTTCCACAAACTGCAGTTTTGGCTTTCACACAACTTATAATTCAAACTCGTGTCACATCTAAGAGCCTTAGTATTGGTCACAGGCTTCTAGGTCATGATCTTAGGATTTATTGAAGGTGTAAATTGTAGAATATAGTTTTAGAAGACAGCCATTTTGTTGAAAGAATGCGGCTGGGTTACTTGCAGGTAGCCCACTGTGAACTTTGGACTGGGCCACATTCCAAACATTCTAGGATGGGCCACTTACCTTTGTAAAGTAAATACTTAAGCTTCTGTAGAATTGTTTAACTTGACATAAATCAATCAGCTTAGGATGAAAAAGGTTTATAGAATATGTCAGTCACGGATTAGGTTATCTTTTGTTATGGGATTTTAAGATTATCATATGAAAAGGGTTTAAAGGCAATCATTGATTAAGTTTTCATGGATTAAGGTTTCTGGTGGGTGGGGGACGCCCTTCCCACATCTGACTTTGTGTATAAAAGACCCATTGTAATTCCCAATAACACTCATTTGCTTCTGCACTAGACTGGAGTCCAGTCTCTTTCTTTCTCTCTTCTTCCCCCCAATTGCCAATGCCGTCTCCACCTTTGGGGTACCCTGAACCTGACTGAAGCTGGACTCCAGCAGGAAAACAAATTGTCCACATTGGAGAGATGAGTCAACTGACTAAGCATATCCAGAGAATAAACGATGAAGTCAGGATTAGAATTCATAGCCCAGGAATAGAATTTAGAGCTAAAAAAGCTACTATTCATTTATAGTACAATATCCAGAGCAATCTAAAAATAATTATGACAGACAAATGTAATTCAACTTTATTATAATAATAAGTAAACATTTAGATGTAATGAAACTGCAGAAAATAAATACATTGGATCTTGCTTCTTTAACTCTAAATTTTTTTTTGAAAAGGTAAAATAATAAAAAACTGTCCAAGAGAGATGTTAAAATTTATCTTAAATCTGCTCAATCAGTACTTCTAGAGATAGTTTCTGGTCATTGGTAGTTATAAAAATCTCCCCAACTGTCATGCGGCCTTGAGAACCACGGGACAAAGGCAGAAATCAGCAAATCTTTCTTGTAAGAAGCCACATAGTAAATATTTTCAGCTTTTCTAGCCATGTGGTCTCTGTCTCAACAGCTCAACTCAGCCATTGTGTGTGAAAACAGTCATAGAGAATGTGTGAACGAATGAGTATGGCTGTGGTCCAATGCAACTTTTTTTGTAGTAGTGAAATTTAAACTTTATACTGTGTTAACATGTCAAAAATAGTGTTCTTCCAGCCAGGCACAGTGGTTTATGTCTGTAATCCCAGCACTTGGGAGGTGGAGGCGGGAGAATTGCTTGAGCATAGGAGTTTGAGACCAGCCTGGACAACATAGCGAAACTTTGTCTTCACAAAATTCAAAAGAATTAACCAGGCATGGTGATACACGCCTGTAGTCCCAGATATTCAGGAGACTGAGGCAAGAGGATCGCTTGAACCCAGGAATTTGAGGCTGCAGTGAGCCATGACTGTGTCACTGCTCTCCAGCGTGGGTGACAGAGTCAGATCCCAACTCAAAAAAGTAAAATAAAACAGATGATAGATAGATAGATAGACAGACAGACAGATGATAATGCATTCTTTCTTTGATTTCTTCTAACCATTAAAAAATGAGAATCCTTTATTGTAGGACATACTGAAAGACCAGTTTTGGCCCCTGGGCGATGGTTTATCAATCTCTATTTCCTGAAAATCAAATTGGCAATTCATGCATGTGAATTTGAGTATATTTTATGGTACTGTAATCACAGAATGTATAATAGGTTATTGCATTCACTTCTTTTTACTCACGGTGCCTGGAATAGTGCTTTGAACTTGGAAGATCATACACACACACACACACACACACACACACACACACACACATACACACACACACATTTCCCTAGATAATATTGATAGTAAGTGAATGAATGAAAAAACTATATCCAACAAAAATTACCAGAGGATTGATTTTGCCAGAGAAACTGATAAATGTTCATCAATTAAGAGTGAATATTATTGCCCCCCCCAAATTAGTTTTTTACTTGACACATTTACTTGACAAATGTGATTTATGTGGATATAGGGATAGCCTCATGAACCAAGAGGAAATGTATATTATCTAGGGTTTGGCCTGGACTTAGGACTGTTGTGTTTTTGTCACGATTTCTAATAATTAGAATATTCTTTGTAACACTATATAATTGGACATATTCATGAAACTTTTGTATGGGAACCTATTTGCTGAGTGCCTTAACTTTTGGCCATAAGAAATATTTCATGATGCTTTTTTTTTTATGTTGTCTGTGTTTAGCTGGAGAGATTGCAGGCTGAAAATACCTCAGAGTGGGACAAGAGAGAGATACTTGAAACAGAAAAGCAAGGATTAGAGAGAAAAAATAGAAGACTGAAGATTCAGGTGAAGGAAATGGAAGAGCTTCTAGACAGGAAAAACAGATTAAGTGCAAACTCTCAAGATTCTGATTTCAAGATGTCGCAAATTGATCTGCAAGAAAAAAACAAGGTATGGGTGCTCCTTGGATCACACATTCTCTTGCTATTTCCTCTGTGACGTGTAGGCAGGTGTTGCCCTAAGTTTTACACACTTCCAAATCTGACTACTTCCTTTGTACTTACTATTATTTGAGAGAAGTTGCTCTTTATCTGTCTGTGAACTGAAATGATATTGTTCATACATCTGAGACAAGGTGTGTCAAATCTTGTAGGAAAAGGTTAGAGTATGACAAATCTTCAGATAGTATCAGGATTCCTAAAAGGACGCAAAAATGAAGTAAGAAACAGACTCTTGTAGTAATTTTTCTACTATATCTTTGCCACAGCATTTTCCAACCTATTGATCTTATTTTCATTAAGTATATGTTTCCATCCATTAATTCAATTAACTATGCAATAAGCATTTGTTGGTAGCTAGGGTTAAGTATGTGAATAAACATTTACATTTTGCCAAAGCTCACTGCTCTCTCGTTTCTTCTTAATTAGTTTCAGAACAATTATTTTTGAGTCAATCAAATGCATAATTTTTCAAAAAGTTTTAAACTGTGAAATAAATGTTAAAATCAGAATTGAATTCAAAATTTGACTGTGGGAAATTTACTTTTGGATATGCTTTATCCTCAAAATAACAGGCATAGTTTGTACTATAGTTTTTAACAAAGTGAATAGCTTACTGAATTTGAAGTGTGATTTTAATGGCAGATTTATGGTTGTAATTTGTGGCTTAGTGTCAGTATGCTGCAAATTACATACATCTTGTTTCTATTTTTTCCATTAAAGCATATACAGCATTTTAATACACAATTATTTCCCTTGATTCCTTTAACAGTTTGAAACCGTGAATTTGATAATTTCATATTTTTGAGTTATATAAATCATTCATACTAATATGAGCTCTAAAACCTAAATAACCAGAAAAATTCAATTTCATATCACTGTCTTTATTCTTTTGTGATTCTAGGGTTTATTACAAATGCAATATTAAATAATATTAGCTATGACTTGGCTATACAAATATCTAAAGTTAAATATTATAGTCAGTGATCACAATTTTCTATTATACAGATTCATAAACCTTCCATGGTAGTGTAATTGATTCTGACACATACACAACTGATAAATTTGTAGAAAACTTTTTTTGGAGTTTTCTAACTTCTTAAAAGCACAAAATGATCTCAATTATGAATATGGTTTGGTTATAAAAATATTTCTATTTGATTCATTTGAAAAGGACATGCATTTATTTATATTTGTTTCTGTGTCAGTCACTGTTTTAGATTCTGGTAATGACAAGATAAATACATCATTGTCCCTATCTGGCATGAACTTAGAGTCTATATATGAAAACATACACATAAATTATTATCAATAAAATATCATGACAGTTGCCAAAAATAAAGTGGAATAAAAACACAGATGAGGAATAATTCATTCTATTCAATTTTGACACTTTTCTAGTTATATCAAAATGTCATAATATAAAGTATGTCAGGAAAAATAAGCGTTAATTGGGGCCTGTTTGGAGATGGCACCAAGGTCAATTGGCATGACCTGCCAGCAGGCTTTACCAAGCTTAGATCAGGGCTCTTTGAGATCAGTGTAGTTCTTTGGTCTAGGACTAGGCCTAACTTCAAAATTTGGAGGATTCTAGAAGGTCTGACCAATCACTGGGTGTTCCCTTCACGTAGAGAACTGTTAGATTTTTTAAAGTACATATCATTTTAATGATGAGGGTGGTGTTGGTGATTTTTATCTTCTTCCTTAAGAATTCAGACTCACGACTAGATCAAAAATGACTGTTTCCTGTAGAATAGCAGCAGATCAAAATCCTTTGTGCAACAGAGTTCCCCACAGAAACTCCAAATGTCAAGTTTTCAAAGTCCTCAAATGCTAATTAATCAGAGCTTGTATAGAAATGCCAAAGTTCATGGAATAATGCAAATTTTATCATAGCACAAAACCATATTGTAGATTTAACATTATTTCAATAAGGATTAACTTATATGTATATGAGTATCATGTCTATAAATGTATATATGAGTATCCTGTAAGAGTGAGTAATGCACATAAGTACAATAAATGAATAGTACATATATAGGTAATATATATGAGTATCATGTTTACATATGTATATAATTTTCATAGGTGACTATCTTGCCTTTATATTTATATAATTGTCATAGATGACTGTCATGTCTATAAGTATATACAAATACTATAGATGACTCCCATGTTTATACATGTATCTATGTACCACAGATGAGTACCATGTCTATATATGCATAGAAATTTCATTCATGAGTGAAGCAGTGAAGATAAGAACTAGCATGTAGGAGGCACTACTGCAAACACTCCACAATTATCAATCTGAAAAGAGATATAAGATCTCATACCATGTGACACTGGCATCTGATCACATTTACCAAATGTTTGTGGCAGACACAAAACTAACTACTGCTCATCGAAATCTCCACATCAATAGATTTTTAGAAATATTTTGAGTTTTTAAAATTAATCTTACTGTTCAATGATTTTTTATAAATCCCTATTAATTCAATAAGAGAGGACTTTTCATGTGTTTTTGCATTTGCTTTTTTGATTTCAGAGGTATAGGGAATATATTTTTTAAAGAAAATGCCTTCTAATTTTACTATTAACTCAAAGACAAAGAATATTATTCACATGAGTGAGCTTATCACATAAATCTCTATCTTGTAGTTACTTTTGCATACTATGTTTAAGAATATGTGTACATCAATCCTTTACAACTTAAAAAAAATATGGCAGTTCACCCGAACTTTTAATGAATAGATTGGAAAATTACCACTCTGGTAGTAACTATTCGCAAAGCATAAACCACTGTCATAGACTTTTTAGAACAAACTCTGCATGAAGATCTTTCGATTTGTTGTTGCTTTTGGAAAAAGTGGCACTGTTCCATGGTTTCACTGCATCAGCATAATTGACAAAACGACATCAGGCAACAGAATTCAGTGGCAGTATCGAGTGTTCTCCTCAGAATGAAGCCTGCATTTTAAATGATGGCAAAGATGTTTGAGAACCAGTTTTGTAAAAACTTAAGTAAATCTAAGTGTATGCTTGAAAGAGGAGAAAAAAGCTACATTTGAAACTTTGATTTCATAGACAAATGATAATGATAAATTAAATTGGTGATCCTTGATCATTAGAATGTGTGTTTTCATTAAAATTAAGAAATCCATCTCATCTTATGAATATGTAGATATACACATACTGAAATGCTTGATATGATTTAACATTTTAAAATAATATATTCAATAACTCAGAAAATTTTAATTCAATAACCTGAACTATTTCTTGAAAATGTTCTTAGCTTTCTTTCATAATATCAAGATAGTTAAAAAATTTAAACATATTAAAATTACAGTGGTATCAAAAGCAGAGTGTACATGTCACACTAAGGCGTGGAAAGAGACTATTAATAAATTTTCAGCCGGGATCGGAGGCTCAGCCTGTAATTTCGTGCCTTTGGGAGGCTGAGGTGAGTGGATTGCCTGAGTCCATGGGTTCGAGACCCGCCCGGATAGTGAGACCTCATCTCTACAATAAATCAAAAAATCAGCTGGCATGGTAGCGCATGCCTGTAACTCCAGTTACTTGGAAGTCTAAGGCGGAAGGATCATCGGAGCCCAGCAGGTCGAGGCTGCGGTGACCGGGAGCGGCCCCTGCACTCCAGTCTGGGCGACAGAGTGAGACTCCAACTCAAAAATAAAAAATAAAAATAAATAAATAAATAAATAAATTTTCAGCTCTTGCTTAATGAATTTCACTCATGGCTTATATGTTATATTAGTAAAATAGCATATCTACATAACAAGTAAATTAATATATTTCAAAGGTGATTTAAACATTGGCATATTTGTAACTTTATGCAAGCATAAAATAAACACATGTCCACTATTTTATTTAACTCATTAATGAATGAAGAAACCAGTAGGCTATTCCAGCCAGCTCAAAGAAGAATTTAAAAACAGACAACTAGGCGCCCAGGAATGCTAAAATGAATATATTAAGTAGATGCAAAATTGATTCTTCCATAGGGTAGGGAAATAAACTGCACTGCCACCAGATGGAATTTTCCCATATGTGTATGAACACAAATCATTTATATTGTTATGAATTATCTACAAATTACAGAATTGTGTGTAAAATAGCTTAAAGATTTGAAAGTTTCAAAACCCTGTATAATCAGAAAATCTTACCTGGAGAAATGTGTTAGACATAACTACCAGGAATGTTTGTTGACCATTTCAAATTATTTCATAACTTCCTTGGCAATGCAATTTAGTTGATATGTGTTCTTAATAATTTTTTTATATATGAGTATGTCAACAAACACTTAGAGAGTGTTATTCCAGACCAGAGATAGGCAAACTTTTTCTGTAAAGGTCAAGATTGTGAATATACCAAGCTACGTAAGTCTTTGTTGTATATTTTAAAAGAAATAGCCTTCAAAACTGTAGAAGATAGTTTTAGTTCATGGGTGGTATACAACAGGTCTGGAGCTGGACTTGGCCTGAAATTACAGGTTGTTAACCTTTGTGTTAGCCACGTGTTCCCTGGGCTTCAATGTATGAAAGGGGCCAGAAGGAAAATGTGACTGAGTCAGGTACAGCATGATAAAGTCCAACCTTCTCACCCTAGCTGGAAAGCAATGCCACATGGAAAGCATTCATATTTGAAGTATTAGAAACGTTGTTCTGGCCATACAGAACTCTCTGGGGTGGGTCTTTTACTTAGAGTGTAATCTGGTCTAGACAGTCTGCACTAAGCAATGATAATCATTTTAAAACAGCATCCCAGGGCCCATCCCGATATACTGAACCAGAATCTGTATTTTAAGAGATCCCTGGATTATTCATTTGTACATTTAATTTGAATGTTAATGTCAAATGCAATTTCTGAATATTGAATTCAGAATAAATCTAAACTAATTCGCATAAGAAAATTTTGTAATTTCTGATGATTGAG